AGCCAAGGCACTCCAGTGCAGATGGGGCAGGGTTCTCTAAGGCTCGCCCTGAGCATGTCTGCAAATGAGCACTTCCACCCCTTGATGCAAGGAAACCCCCGAGAAAGTGCACCGACGGCTCCCGTAAGATCTTCACAACAGCACTTACTTACAATAGTCCTAGATTTATAGCCATGTCCTTCTGTGATTAATCTAAGCTGACAGAAAAGGGGACGGTCGCTTTTGGAGAGGCAGGAGGGACAGTACTCAGATGGGGCATGGAGTGACCCCTTGGGGTTGGGGTCATGTTCTATTTCTTAATTTGGATGGAGGTTGGACAGGCGTGTCATCAATCTACTATAAGTACACTTTTCTAAATGTGTATCTCACACACACATAAGTTAAAGCAGATAAGAAAAGGATTGTGGGTACGAAGTGGACTGCTCAGTCTCCTCTATCTATTATGTCTGCCTGTCTATCATCGAGAACATCAGTTCTCAAGGGTCATCATAAAGGAGTGCCACACACTGTAGGGTTCTGACATCAGAAATGTATCAGCTCCAAGTTCTGGAGTCCAGAAGTTAGAAGTGGAAGTGTCGGCAGGACTGGTTTACCCTGAATCTGGGCAGATTCTATCCAGGCCTCCCCCAGCCTCTGGGAATTTGCTGGCCACCTTGGGCCTCCTTGCCTCTGCGACATCCCCTCAAGCCCTGCCTGTATCAATGCAGGATGTTCTCCCTATATACATGTGACCACAGTCCTCCCTTTTAGGGGACCCTAGACATGCTACACTGGAGCCGACATGAATGACCTCATCACTTTTTAGGGTTTGGATGTTATCTGCAAAGACCTCATTTCGAACAAAAGTCAGACTATGGGGTTCTGGAATTATGACTTCAGTATCTAATATGAGGGACATAACTCGGCATATAATGTTATCAATCCTTACACATACACACACACGTACACACACATACACACACAAAAAAATGGTCGTAAAAATATTTGCAGTCCTTAAATAAAATCCTGCCTTTTGATCAAAGTTTGCTCTTGGAAAATACAATTTCATTCCAATACCCACAGGCAAATTTTTAATAGTTCAGTTCAAAGTACATATACAGTTTTTATTTAACACATAACCTGGGACAATAAAAGTGTAGCTGTAATAATGTAGCTCTGGATGTAGGACTAAATCATTGAAAGTGGTCCAACTTGACTTCTTAGCAGTAATTACTGGGCCTTCCTGAGGAATCCCTCCATGAGGAAGTTGTTACTGGTAGAAATTGCAATGAGACCAAATGCTGTTTCAGAGTTAGTACAGAGAGATGCTGGGCTTACTTTAAACTAAGGGAACATTGTTAAAGTTAGCGCTGTGGAAGAGTAATGGGCAGCAGCCACGCAGCTGGTGCCTTGTGGCTGTTAGTTATGCAGGACTCTGGGGTTTAGGAACTGGGCTTCTGCAGGGCACCGGCCCCTTGTGCTAGCCTCAGGGACTTGCCATTCTTGCCTGTTGTCACACAGGAGAGCACACTGTGTAGCGTGGTGTGAACTCTGCCTGCTCCAGGATGAACCCCTCTTCCCTGTCCCATGAGCCCTGACTCAGGAAAGTGCTCAGAGAGGAGTCCAGTCAAGGCATCACCCATCTGGATGGTCCTTTGGAGAAAGCAAAGTATTTTCAACTTATGCCCCTGGTTTCATTATCAGAACATCCTTTCGACTTATTTAAGGCAACTGTCACCATCCATATATGGAATGGTACCACACAGAGGAGGTGAAACGCACACCTGCCTCCCATGGGTTAACCGAGCTGATGGGGTGAGTGCTGGGCACCGCAGGGTGGGGGGGCACAGCCAGCACTTGACATGTCCGGCCTTAGTGATGTACTGATTTTTATTGTTATTGCCTCCACAGGATCACATGGCTCATGAAGTTCTGAGACGGAACCGACCGGAGGTCACCAGACTGCAAAGTCATCTCCTATTGCTTTGAAATGTCCCCTGAGACAAAAGGGCAGAAAGGATGAACATACTGAGGAGCCCTGGGGACAAATCTAGGGTGGCTGCAAGCTGCCTTCGGTGGGCCCCGAGGGTTAAGCCTGCCTGCCTGCCTGGGGTGCTCGAGAGTACCATCCAGCTGGTCCCAAGCTCTGAGGGAGTCGCAGCCTCGAGGACTGAACAGAGGACAGACTCCCACAAACCTGGCCTCCCCATCAGCTCTTGGGAAATATGATTTTCCAAGAGCTGATGGGGAGTGGAAGGAAGCCACTGTGGCTGGTGGAAGGAAGCAGTGCAGCCACCTGACCGCGTGGCCTGTGTCACCAAGGGCTGCAGCAAATGCCATCCACCTCCCACTCCTCCCTCTGTGCATTCCCAGGGGCAGACCCCAAGGTTTCCATGCTGGGAGCACAGGGGACAGTCATTTGGAAAACCATCAAGCATTCTCTGGGAGTAAAGCGTCTGCCCGAGCAGCCCTCTTGGCGCGGTGGAGCCGTGGAGGGGCAGAGGACGGAGCCATTTCTGGGTGAGTACACATGACAGGGAGAGAAGGGAGAGTGGTGCCCAAGTCGCAGGCACCAGCACGTTGCCAGGAGATTCACAAAGCCCCGAGCATAGACAAAAGGCGAGAGGGCTGGCCGGGCGCAGAGGCAGCCAGCTACTGGCCTGGGGACAGTGTCCAGGCCTCTTGGCTGCCGAGCTCGCCGGGAAAGCCCCTTCCCTCCCAGTGCCGGGAAGGCCCTGCGGGTACCGGGAAGGTGTCTGCTCATGAAGAATACTCCAGATCCCAGGAAAACCCGCCGAGCCGAGGCAGCCTGGAGGCCCCTGCGATTACTAATAGTAAAGGTGAAATGACATTGGCAGACGGAGGCAGACCTGTGCCCAGCCTCTCTGCTCATCTGCCTCTCTCCTGGTGGTCCTATGGCTGCCAAGGACGGTGCCAGGGAAGTGAGGGGGCAGGAGCGATCGCTTCTGCATTCTCCCCTCATGAGCACACGGCACTGGGTGGCACCCCTAACCCTGCTCCCCGCCTCCCTGACGTGGGAAAGCCAGTTGGCCTATGTGCCTCACCAGTGCTGTCTGTTGAGTGACAGGGGGAGTCCGGCACCAGACCTACCGGATCAGAAGCAGGGATCTGGGAAGGCCCATTGCTAGAAAGCTCCTCGGGGAGCTGGGGTGTGGCTCAGTGGTGGAGCACTCTCTGGTGTGCACCGGAACCTGGGTTCCCTGGCCAGCCCTGGGGAAAGAAAAGTCCCTCCAGGAGATGTGGCGCTAATCCACAGAGGCTCACCTGGGAGCCTCCAGATTGAGAACTTGCCTGGAGACTCCTCTCAGTAGTGCCCCCAGAGAACCAGGGAGTCTCCTGCAGGCACCTCTGGGGAGCTCTGGGCAATGCAATTTCTGCCCTCCCCTCTGCACCCACCTTGCTCGAGGTTGGCTCACAAGTCCTCCACAGCTGGCATTTCTGGGTGTGCTGCTTTCTGCCTGGAAGGCTCTGCCTGTTTGACACACGTTTATTGATCTGCCAAACCTCGCTTGGAAGCTTTGGGCCTGGAAGCCCCGTTGCATGAACACGCATGAGGGGACTTTTGACCACACACGGCACCTGCTGACTCCATTCCCCTTCACAGAGCCCCCGCAGTCGGCTGCTCTGTGGTCAGGCAGGAAGACTGGGAGAGGACAGCATGCATTCCTGGAGACTCATGGGGTAGGAATGCAAGTTGTAGAGGGGCAGTCACCTGGGCACAAGAGGACAGGCAGGGCGGGCCTGTGAACACGGAGGAGAGAGGACCATGGCCCAAACACCGGGGGCAGGAGAGGTTGTCTGGAGGGATCTAAGAAGCGCTCCTTCTGGAAGTTACTAAGCAGAAAGCAGAAAGTCGCAGCCAGGTAAACAGGCTGCCGTAGTTAAGAGGGTCCGTGTCCTGTCCAGAGTTGTAATCACCCAGACAGGAACAGAGGCCCAAACTGCCGGGAAGCAGGACAGAACCAGGTGGAGGAGCAGTGACCCCAGGGAGAAGGCCTGCTAAGTGACCCGTTGCCTCCTCCCCTAGAGCCTTTGGAGCAGGGCCGGTGGGTGGCCTAGAACCTCAGGACCCAGTGAGCATCAGTAAAAGCAGCTTAAAGAAACGCTCCGCTCAACAGCTGGGAGGTGTTTGAGTGTAGAGGGAGATTACCATAAAAAAAAATGGAGCTCAAATTCAAAGGAATTTGAGCTCGTGTTATTTTTTGGCAAGAAATACAGACCATTGATCACTGTACTCAATGACCCATGGAGTCTCTGCTCGGACTCCAGAAGATTCAAGTCTGCATTCTTTCTTTTACAGCCCCTCAATATAGGGGGGAAATAAAACAACTTTCAGGGTGTTTTGCTGGCTAGTAGTACAAAGTATGAAGTCCTTTAGGAGATATCCATTTTTAAGCATATCCCCTAAGTTATATTGAAAACTAGTAAAATATAAGTTGTGTGTGTGTATATACATATACATATATATATATGTATACATGTACACTTATATCTTTTCATATTCTCTCTGAATTTCTATTCTGAGTCAGCAACGTCAATTCGTTTGTGAGCTGCACAGGTAACTTGGAGCTGTGCTGGTGAACGTGCGAGGGCAGTGGTCTGTCTAAACCCAAACCAGAGGACTAGAGCTCACCCTTGCACCTTCCATCCCTTCTCTGCCTCCTCATTCTATCCCACAGAAACACCTTGGCTGAATCGGAGTCTCAATAAGCATATATGGTCCTCTTAGATGCACATGAGGACGTAGCCCTTGGACTGGCGAGTCACCATTCCTGTCTGAGTCCAGGGTTCAAAGAAAGAAGAGAGAGAGGGAGGTCTGCCCTGCTGGTCAGGGAGGTGAGGCTGTCTCTTCCAGGCCCCCGAGGAAAGCTGCTGTGCTTGCTCCCTCAGACAATCACATCAAGACCTGCTAATGTTTCTGGTTCAGCCGCCCTGCAGTGGGTGATTTCCAAGCAATGAAAGGTGAGAAGGCTGCAGAAGAAACCCAATCCCACAATGTCTGGGGGCTCTCAATCAATTTTAATTGAATTTACTAATTGAATAGCACACATCCTTTTAAAAGGGACATAGAAATGAGAGAAACAAGCCTTGTTTAGTACCTTCTCCATTTCTCAAACCATGTCAGCATCAATTCCATTCTTTTTTTCCAGAAAACACTGAGTTTCTTCCCAGTGGAGAAAGAGCAGGTGGTGAACCAAAGTCAACTGTCCCTGGAATTGATAAATCGTCGTTACATTTCTTCCAAAGACTTTCCAAGAAATAGCTATTCCAAGGCTTCGTTTTCCAATCGTGTCCCCAAATGCTTTCCTCACTGAGCTGCTGTGGCATCTTCTCCTGTCAGTCTCCTTTCTTGCCCGTGTAGGGAGGGTGAGATCCCAGGAGGGGACCCCTGCTCTTCTCCTCCCGCCAGTCCTGCCTGGGACTAGCCTCTTCCACAGGGGTGTACCCGGGGGAGGAGATCCCAGGGCAGGAGCCTCCCACGCAGCCTGACCTGGAGTGCCAGAGGTCCTCCCATCTAGATGGGGGTCCCTGGAGATCCAGTCTGAAAGAAAAGACAACAGGAAACATCCCATTGGAAAGAACAACTAGAGGCAACCTGCTCTGCTGACCACGGTCCTCATTCAGCCCTCAGAACTCATCAGGTCTCCTGGGCCCGACGCTGTGCTAGGTGTCTGGCTCCTCTGAAGATGCATGGTCTTCCCTGCCTGCTGTCACCAAGCACGTGGCCCTGATATGGCCATGTGTCCCCGCAGATCCTTCCTGCTTTATTGGCTGCCCTACCCTGTGCTTGTTGTTTTCTGACCTTCCAGATGGACAAATCCTGTCTCAGACCTCTTCTAGGGGAGCCCAATTGAGACGCCCTTGGGAGAGCCAGAAACTCCCCCAACGGCCCTGGCAGCAGGTGCACTGCCCAGGTGCGTACCCTGGAGACCACGCAGGTGGCAGGAGGGCCAAGCTCACGAGGCACATATCGGCACCCACACCCCAAGCCTGACTCCCAGCAGCACCCGCCTCCACCCAGTGCTCTTTCATCCTCTACCAGCCTGCCTGCGGCTACCCCAACAGGATTTCCGGTCTGCCCTGTTGGAGGGGTATTCCTCTGCCTGGGTCCTCTTCCCCTCTGTCTTCCAGACTTGGCCCTCAAGGATCAGCTCAAGTTCCACCTCCCACATGGTGACCCCTGACCACCCAGCACAAAGGGTCCCGGTCTCCCTTCGCTTTCTGTGCTTGGCCCTCTGAGGGCCTCCTACCACACGCCATTCTGGATGTGCGCTCCTCCCTGCTGCCAAAGCTCTCCAATCCGCGTTTCATGTTTCCTTTTAGCTTCACCAGACTTCACTTTCATTTTGCTTTGTTTTCACCAGGAGGAAAGTTCAGCTGCCCATGGTCTCCATGTCTCTCCCTCCTCAGCTCTGGCCAGGGGTCTCTGCAAGTGAGGACGGAGCTATCCGGTCTGCCTTTCTCCCGCCTCACTTTCACTGTCCCCCCAAGGACATGTGCTCAAGACAGTCTCAGGATGCAGCCTGTTTTCCACCCTGGAGGGAGTAAAGCCCCCTCTGAAGATTGAGGGCCATCTCAGGGGCTCCCGCTCCTTGCTCCCCTTGCTGCAGGTAGGGGCACCAGGGCAGAAACCGTGCAGTCACTAGTTCTGCCTGCTGTGTGCTCGACGCTTCTATTAAAACCTTACCCCAGCATCAGGAAGACAGAGAAATGCCACAAATGAGCCAACTCGGAGCACATTGCTAAATCAGTGGAAAGGGGAAAGCATGCCGACTCCACATAAATCCTTCTGTGTCTCGGGATCACGGGGTTTGGGAGCCAAAGGAGAAGGGAGGGGATGGAGGGGTCGTGGCAGGGGGATGTGGAGACACCCTGCTCAGAATCCGATTGCTAAATTGCTTCTCCAAGAATACGCACCATCTGCTGCCCTCTGAACACTGTCTAGACAATTTCAAATATTACATAATTCATGGTGGCTGAATATTTTCCTGTTTACTGCAGAGTTAGTCCACAGAGGTCACTGATAAAAATCATCTTTTAACTGGTATGAGAAGCATTCAAAACATCTAAGACTCCGAAGGGCCTTGCCTACCCTTACTTTTTGATATTGATCCGTGGATAAAGTAAAACTACACAGGCCTGATGGCCCCTGGCTTCTGGCCAGGTTGTGAGAGGTGTCAAAAGACAAAGACCGGCTGGTCCCTCCACCAGTAATGTGACGACTACCATCCATGTGGGCCTTCCCACTTTCTGATGGAGCCAAATGGAAGCCCAGCTACGGGGCAGCCGCCCTGTTGGAACACCAGGGAGACTGTGCAGTGTTTCTAAATCACAGTTCTCTGCCATACTTAACAGAGACATTGGGTACTTTAACTAAGAATAGAGTTTTAAAAAAAGGAAAGAAAAGAAAGTGAAGCAGAGAGAGAGAGAGAGAGAGAGAGAGAGACAGAGAGAGAGAGAAGGAAGTGGGGGGCTACGGGCTGTGGCAACCAGGAGAGCTCCTCCTACACCCTCGGGCACTGTTTCCATTGGGGACCTGCCCCACCCTCTGCCCACTGACAACCGACCACTGGATTTGGTGCACATGCTCCTGTCGGAAAGCTGGTTGCCATTCCTGAGCTGCCAATCGTCTAGCACTCTCTCAGTTCCAGGCCACTGCAGGTCTTCCTCCGGGGCTGGTCCAGCAGAGCAGGCCTGGCCAGGTGGGAGGTGGGCCTGAGTGGGCCTCTCCTGGAGTTTCCTACCTGTATCCACCGTGAGATCTGGCAGGATACCAAGAGATCTTGCTATTTGATGTTGCTTATCCCTACTATCACTTTTAATTTGATCTGCTTTGTGAAAGAAATTATCTGTGAGCTTTAAGGGACCCACTAGGCTGACCAGCTCTTCTGATTCATGACCCACAAATATCCTTTCCCAAGTCTCAGCTGACCTGCTCCTGACTTCACAAAGGTCCACTCCTGTCTCTGAGTGGGGCTGACCCTCTGAGAAATGTAGTCTGGGGCCGTGTGATGGTTGCACTGTGTGGACCCTGGCACCAAGTATGGAGCTGGCAGGTGCCCCTCCAAGCCTTTCTCTGTGCCCAGTCTATGCCTCCTCCAGGACTATGGGCTCTGCTGAGACAGGGTATCTGGGTAGGGCATTTTTTCAAAAAGATGTTTCAAAGACAAAGCAACCATCACCTTGCGTTTTCTTTTCAGGATAAGCATATATATGCTGAAATGGCTAAAAACGAATCTTCGAGAATACGTGGGCAATGTAAGATTTCACACGTCTGCGGTTGCAGGTGAGCCAGAAGCAGCGCCCATGTGGCAGCTGGCTGGGCGACCTCACGGGGCAAGGCCGATGGGGAAGGGCTGGTGGAGAAAGCACTGCTGCTGCCCACCAGTGTCGAGGTGCATTCGGATCAGACGCTTCAAGACATCGGCACGTCAGTTGCTGAAGGAGAGATATAAACACTCTGCCTGTAAACGTAAGTCACATTTAATTCTCCAGAGTTCAATTTCACTTAAAAAAAAAAAAAGATTGTGTCTTCATGGATCTAAGAAGCATGTGTGCCTCCAGCTCCACTGACGTTGTCCAAACCCGGGACTCCTCCCATCAGGCTTGCTCAAAATTAACGTAATTGTGCATGTTGGAAATTGCTCTGTGACCAGCCAGTTGGCCTGACTTTACAGCTGTGTAAAGGAAGCATAAGAAACTCAAGAAAGATGTCAGTGCCCAGGGGAATATTGCAACCTACCCCACATCCTCTGCACATACCGAGCAGGCAGTAGGGAGCCACCAGCACAGCCCCAGCCTTTTCCACAGAAAGGAGTCCTGCCCGAGTCCTGCCTGGATGCACCAGGCCTCCCGTGGCCAGGAATCGTCATTTAGACTCTTGTCTACTGAGGCAGCTCCGTGTTAGAAGCATGAAGAGATTTGCTCAAAATCCGCACAGAGAAATAAGTTGCAGGATAAAATCTATAGCCCAGATGTGCCTCCTTCTGGTTCGCTTCACCATGCATTTCCCTAGCTTGGGCTGTGTCATGTTTGAAACCCAGAATTTGCTTCATGCCAGTCACCTTCGGGCAAAGAACAACATGGTTTTGATTGGAGTTGGGCTCTTCCACAGAGCCAAGAGACCAAGGCCTGCAAAGGAGCTTCGTCTATGGGAGGAGGGTCCGCTCCGTTGCCCCTGAGGTCCTTCCTGTTGTAAATTCCCTGAGCTCAGACTGTGGATCTTTTCCACGGAGTAGATGCTGCAAGGGGCTTGGTGCCTGCAGCGTCTGCAGAGTCAGACCTGCAGCCCTCTCATTGGTGGAGTCTCATGGCATGAGACACCACCGTGGGGGAGGTGAGCAGTGATCCTGTGTTTGTAGAACTGGTATGTCGCGGGCACACAGGGATAGTCTTCAACACTGTCCCTGTGTGTCCGTGACATACCAGTTTGATAAATGCTTTCAAGTGTCAGGCAAGTATCTGTGAGCTCGGCCCCTGTCCTGGGGTTGTCCAGCGTGGGAGCCACTGTGCACGCTGGGCCCTGGGCTTGGTCTCCCTGCAGAGTAGCACCCAGGCCCTTCCACAGCTGGGGTTCAGGAAGCAAGGGAAGGCCAGAGATTCGGGGCTGGCTTTGAAGCTGATGCCCATTTCCCCTGGCATCTGCCCTCCCAGTGCCTCTCTGATGTGCCAGGCTGGGGAAGGGTGGGACGAAGTCTTCACCCTCGGAGGGGAAGGGCAAGGTCACTCACGGCTTCAGCTCAGCCTCAGAATGGAAACCCTGAGAGATGGAAAAGTACTTCACAAGTAGCTCAGAGCCACTGAGGAGAAGAGATGCAGCCCCGAGGAACTTCAGGGAAGGTGAACACGGAGCAAGGTCTTCGACGGGCATCTGCAAAGGAGATGACTTCTTCTAAGAAGAGCCTGAAGGGCAGGGGCAAAACTGTGCCCTGGGTTTCATGTGACATTAGATCATCAGTTGGGACTTACTCTTCTCCCTGGCGCAGAGCAGCAGGACTAAGTACAGAGACTTCCAGTGCCATCCACACTGTGACACAGCACAGTGAGCCACCTCTGAGCCACCATGCTCACTGGGCATGGGATTTTAGGCCTATTTAGATGAATTCAGTGGTCAGAAAATCTGGGATCATCCTTCCATTTTAAAATGCTGGTTCTAAAAATATAAATAAAATTTCCATCAATATTTTCAGTATTTAAAAATCGGTTCTCTGGTTTCGTCCTTGATAAATCCAGGATTTCATCGTCACCTGCTCTCACCTTTGAAGTCAAGTCTCAAAATATGGCATGATTTTTTATTACTGTTGTTTAATATTAATGAAGCAATTGGCTAGTGACACCAAGCATAAGATGTAAATGCCAATCCAAATAAAATATTCCAGAGATTTTGAACCTAATAAACATGCACTAAATACCTCTTATGCTCAAGATACTGTGCAAAACTCTTCAATGGATAAGAGGCCATGTCACAGACCAAGGCATTCAGAGATGATCTAGGAATTCCCTGCTGGTGCTGTTCGGGTCCTATGGTTCTCTTCCTGACTTGCTTCTAAAGACGGCAGTCACCTGGTCTCAGCTCCACATCTCACCCTGGATGAGTTCTTTCGAGTCCCACAGCTGGGAGGGCTCAGGGGACTGCTTGTGGCCAAGTGTGGGAAGCAGATTCCTGTTCCCAGAGGGTCCACAATGCTGGAGGCAGCATGTACCTTAAATGAGCCAGGAGTGGGAATCTGAGTATTTGGGACCATGTTTCCACCTGACTGCATTCTCCCCTCTGGATGAAGGATGGGGAACAGCCATCTCTGTGAATGTTGACCTAAACATTCTCCAGGGTCGGCATTTAGGATGTGGAGAATTCCACACCACAATGCCAGACAAGAGCTGTGTGGCCACAGAACTTGCATCACTGTAAGGAAAATAGGGTGCAAACACATGGCTCAGGGTCCCTAAGAGAAGCTCTACATCCAGCTCGAAATTCTAAAGTAGACTAGCAAAAGAATTGAATAATTCCAGATCAATACACATGAGGAGGTCACATTGTGGAGCTCAACTGGAGATACTAGAAGGTACTCAGGTTTCATTCTAAATTTGAACCTGTGTGTGTGCATGTGTCTGCATGTAAAAACAAAATGCACTTTGGAATGACACAAGTTGCAAACAAACATGCAGACCTACAGGTTATGGGTCGGACTCACGGTTCAGCCTCTGATAGAACTGGCGTGGTGGCTGTGGCAGGGTGGTGTCGGCAGACGCCGCAGTGGAGAGGGCGTGTCTGGTATTTAATTATCCAAATGTGCCGCAGTCTGGCTGGGCACAAATGCCGCAGTCTGGCTGGGCACACAATCACGAGCCACCACACAGCTTGTAGATTCAAACAGCAACTCTTTATTCCCGAACTCACACCAGCCGTCTACAAACACGTTCTGGGGAAATCCACGTTCTCTGCCCAAATCCGCGTTCTCTCCCAAATCCACCTCCACTGGGCTTCTATCTCCAAAATATACTGTCTGAATCCCGTGAGAACTCAAGGGGAACTCAGGCAGCAGGATACGCCCTATTCCCAGCAGGAATAATCTTAAACCTTAAACCTGGAACCTAAACTGGGAACGCCCTAAACAAGATTATCTTAAAACCGGGAACACCCTAATCTGCCTTGGTCCTTGAGCAAGGTTAAGTACATTCAATGTCACTGCAACATGGGGTAC